TCAACCACGTTGATAGTAACTGTTGGGAGTTCGTCATCTCGAACAATCGATCGTCTTTTGCGAAAACGCCTTGATTTGGGCTTTGATGCTTCAGTGGAGATCCTCTCAAATACCGAGACCCTCTGTGAAGCGGTCTTGGGGCAGCTACACGCTGATAATACTGCCCTGATAATTTTGATACACGGACAGTGAGAGTCCGCTTCCCAAGTACTTCTCTTTCGAGATTTATTCGTACCCCCAGCCCGATAGTACAACTCATCGACGTTGCGATCAGAGCAACCTATCGGCCGTTTACATAAATTCTCAGGTATAACGCATTCTTCTGTCTGTCGCATTTTCCTCTGAGTAAACATCGCCTTGTTGGCGTCTACAGGAGTCACGCGCTTGGAATCACACCTTTGTGAGGGTGAAACCTTAACGGGCTTCTGGTTTTCTGCACGCACCGCCAAGCTAGCCGTTGTAGAAATTAATTTGTTAGGGGGTCGCGTACGACCCCCAGTCCGGATGTTTGCTCGAAGCTCCTTCAACGGTCTTAAACTTTCCTTAACAGACGCTTTTCCTCGATCCTCGGGTAGAGAACCGATGCGATCCTTCAATGGGACTCTAGATTTGGGAAGATTCACGCTGTCATAGGGCTTTACCGGAGGTGCGGGAGCAATAGGAGCGGGATCTAGAGTTGACAAAGGCCGAAGAGCAGCCTCGGATGCTTTTGCCTTAGGCGCTGATTTGGCCTTTGGCATCCAACCTTGCTTAGATTTTGGTGACTTTTTGGCCACCTTTTCCTTCTGCAACTCCCGTGTCTTCCGTACAAGGATCCTTGTTTGCGCTAGCTGTATTACCCCAACCCTTGAGAGGGTGATGTGATTAGTATTGATAGATTTGATCGGAATACTCATACCACCAAGATGCATCTTTTTTCGGGAACCCAACTCTTAGAAACTCCAAAGTTAAGCGTGTTTGGCCTGGAGAAATTCTAGGATGGGTGACCCCCTGGGAAGTTTTCCAGGGAGCACGTGAGTGAGGACAAAACGTGCTGAAAAGACATGTGGTGGTTTGTGAGGTCAGTCCATCAGAGCTAATAGTGTACCGACTCCGGGATTCCCGGGCGGGGCGTTACACTAGCAGTGCGCGACGCTTGTGGATACGCTCCTCAAGAGTTGAACGGGTTCGTTTGACACGAACCCATTCGTTAGTAGGTGGATGGGAGGAAGTTCCCAAAGCTTGTTGTTGGAACACTTTGCGCCTTCTAAGTTTTAGATCCGCATCATAGCAGATCCCGTCAACAGGCTCCAAAGCCTGGGCAAATTGACGCGCGAGACGTTGACGGCGCCTTTGACGAGCCCTCTTCGTCAGCACTGGTGCACTTTCAACGGGCAACTCCTTGACTTTCGAGGAGTTGTCACGAACGTTGGATCTGGTTTCTTTAGAAGCCGGAGAGGAATCTTCCACTGCATTCGGGTTCAGATCATCAGCTTTGGTTTTTGGATCTGAAGTCACATTCTTCACGGCAGTGGTTTTCCTGCGTTTGCAAGAAGAAGATCTGGAGGAGAAGGAGGAAATATATTCCTCGAATTTCTACTGTTCGAATTCGTATTCGACCTCTTCGAGCACCGGGATCTTGATCGTCGGCTACGGCACGACAGCTTCGGCAGCGAAGCTGTTGGCTCCCACTGTGGTCGCCAGCTTGTTTGCGGTAAAAGTTGATTTCTTCATTGCTGAATCTATTACACGTTTATCGATTACAGATTCAAAGTAAAATTAGTCTTTTTATAAGACTTTATTACACAATGAAAAAAAATATAACTCTCTTCAAACAAACACAACGGGTGTTTATCACCCACTGCTTGCGTGGGATCTTGGCCTGTGACGGGGATGTTGATATCCGTGGACCACCGTCGATCAGATATGATTGCTGAAAAATCGGGCAGAGCTTCGTTGATTCGCGAAGGAATCAAGAAACCGTAGCGTTTATCTCGACAACGGCGAGATAATTGCTCTTCTTAAGATTATCGTAACGGGATAATCTTAAGGAACGGACCCGGGGAACTACAGATCGGACGAGCTCCTCTTCTCTATGCCGACGAACTCGATCGGATCTCTACTCCTCCTCCTCTCTGAAATTCGTGCACTTTTGATCTTAAATCCGGCAGGGCTTCGCCAACGCTCGAGAATTCCTGATCTGAAAAAATGAGGTTCCCGGGGCTGTATTTATAGGCTCCTAGGAAGTCTGATCAGTTAAAACCGCATAACGGCTTATTTTTGGGCCTGGAGACACCCCTGGGTGTCTCGGCGAGGCCGAGACACCCTTGGGTGTCTCGCTTGTGCCGAGACACCTCGGGGTGTCTCAACTCAGACTGAGACTCTTTTTTCGTACACTTGTCCGTTTCCGTCGTAATTTCTTCGTCCGAACTCAGATTTGAGTGATTCAAAGTACGTCGGAAAGCTGACGAGGAGTTTTATAAGCTCTGATGATTAGATCATTGTGGATTAAGCTGGGATAGGAGTGTCGTTTTGCCTTTTGTAAGCAACGCGGGGCTCCCGATCAGTTCGTATCCTCATTATTCTGAAACTCCGTTACTTCACGTAGTCCGTCGATCCACTTTAAGTGTTCGTCGACATCAATCAAGCTTCTGTGAACCGGATAGTAACGTTCATCGTCTTTTCTTAGCGCTGAGCTGTTCGTGGAGACCTATATACAATTTTCGATGCCTACATGAGGTTCACTTTGTATTACACTAGTACACCAAGAGAAGTATGTGTGGTGAGAGACGGGGTCGTCCCAAGAGGAGTGGGGTAGGTGGTAATACCTAGAGAGAGATTATAATTCCTAACACTTAAGGGAGACACAAGCTATAGATCAATACTTGAGGTGGTAGTTAGTGTGTTTATATTGTGAGTGATCATAAAATTTTCGGTGAACTAGGAAACCGAGTGTGAGGTGTAAACGTTATTCGGGTGAGCGTAGAAAACCCGGTTGTGATAGTGGAGATCTCCTCGAGGTGAGGTGCGGAGACGTAGGTCGTGGGGACTGAACTCCGTGATCATATCTTGTGTTTGAGTTTGGCTTGACGCACTTGTATTTTTGTTCATCTTTATTACCATTATCTTATTGTTTATTTCATCCACTATATCGTTTATATTTTGTTTACCCTTGTGATATTTGTATATCCTTGCATATATATCTTGTTGCATCTCATTGCTAGGAGATATTTGTTGATTAGTTTTAAATTGGTATAAATCGGATTAGATTAGCATAAACTCTATTCACCCCTCTCTAGGGTTCTTTCCTAGTGACATTAGGATACTTTCAATTGCTATCAGAATATTTTCAGCCCTCTTGGTCGCAGTTCCAACATTTCATTTTGATAGGTCTCACCTTCGAGTTTCACCTCTTCTTCTTCGACTTCGATCGATTCCTTTTTTGGTTCCCCCTATTATGGCTTCTACCTCTCTGCTCGAGACTTAGGGCTGAACCTGAACTTTTTGATTCATTCGATTTTCTTCTAACATCCTCGGATAGAACCATAGCTACCATCTCGTTCAGCTTCAACTTCTCCTTTCCTGCCGAGTTGTTGATTGCGGCCATGCAACCTGCCCAACTATCCAGCAACTGCGATAGTATCAATAGGGCCTACACTTCGTCATCAAACGTGATGTCGACTGAGATGAGTTGATCAATAATTGTGTTGAACTCGCTGAGATGCATCGTGAAGGAACATCATTCTGCCATCTTGAGGTTGAATAGCGTTTTGACGAGATGCACCTTATTTATAGCTGACGGTTGCTGGTACATTGTTGCGAGCGCTTCCACAAGTCCTACCGTCGTCTTTTCCTTTAATATATTGTGTGCTATTGATTTTGCGAGGGCCAATCGGACCTACCCCAGGGCTTTTCGATCCAATATTTCCCAGTCCTTTTCGGATTCTTCTTTCTTCTGTCCTTTTGCTTTACCCATTAGCGAACGGTAAAGATTCTTTTGGTACAAATAGTCCTCCATCTATGACTTTCAGTAGGCGAAGTCTAACCCGTCAAACTTCTCAATTTTAGATTTGCCTTCTTCTAGCATTTCTTACATACACAGATCTGAATAAGGGCTCTGATACCAGTTGTTGGGTAATTCAAACTACTCGACCACTTGTCAAATATGAACCCTCGTGCGGAATTTTTCCTACCGGATCTTATGTTAAGACAATAGAAAGAAAAAGTCACAGTAAATTGCAAGAAAAGATGAACACCGAGTTTTAACGAGGTTCGACAACTTGTCTACGTCCTCAAGAGCCACACAAATAATTTCTTTATATTAAAGAAGATTACAAGCTTGCAAAAGAGCAGATCTCAAACTCGAGATCTCTCAAAAGAGAAGCAACAGAAACTATCTGTTTTTTCTTTCAAAGGCGTGAGATTTTCCTGTGAGATTCTCCTTAAAAGAGCAGATCTCAAACTTGAGATCTCTCAAAAGAGAAGCAACAGAAAATCTCATGCTCAAGAATCGGTAAAGAGAAGACGCTCTGAAAAATCGCCACCACCAAGCTCTCAAAGAAATCGTCTGCCTCTCTGAAATTCTCCTCACACTCAAAATCTCGTGCGCATGGCCTTTTTATAAGACAACCCTAGCCAGGCTGTCGACAGCCTAGAGAGCGCCGACCTCGCCTTCGATTCCGCGCTCAAGCTCGCATGTGCCAACCCAACTCGAGCTCGCCTGTTAGCCCTCTTCGAGCTCGCCTGCAATCAGCCGCGACCTCGCCTGCGTTCGACTCGCCTGCAGAGCCTTTGTTTGAGCTCGCCTGTGACTTGCCCTCTTCAAGCTCGCCCGAGCTCGCCTTCATGTCGAGCTCGCCTTAAACTTTGTTGACCTCGCCTAACGCTCATCGACTTCGAGCTCGCCTGAGCTCGCCTTCATGTCGAGCTCGCTTGAAACTTCGTCATTGTCGTCAGAAGCTCTCCGCTAATAGGTTCGGGTCTACACCCATTGTCCAACAATAACAACACTCTAATTTCAATGAAAAACAATGATCTCATCATATCCCCTTCATTTAAAAAAAAATGTACATCTTTTTCACCCAAAGAATGCACACACGCATACCACTTAACCAAATTCTGTACAGTATCAGTTCGTACACCAAACCTCTAAAACCCTTTCCAAGCAGCAAGGACCTCACTAAAGATTTCACTTATAAGCTCTCGATCTCCATTCAATAAAAACTCATTGAACTCGTCCTTTATCTCATAAACCTTGCCGAAGTTCACCAGATACCTCAAGCAACCACTCTTGAGCTTTGACAGTCCGTAGAGGTGCGCGGTCTGCAGCCTCTCGAGCACATTCTTAGCGTCAATGTCCTCCGATAGACTGTCATGGCATGCCTCTTTGAGGTCGTCGATGCTGTACTTGTCGGCGGCACTGAGGAGGGCGAGGCGATGAGCCAAGAACTCTTTGGCTTGGAAGTCGCCGTAGATGTAATTGAGAAAGGCCCTGATCACACGTAATTATCAAATAGCTCAGTAAAATATTCGTTAAACAGTCTGTTCAAATTCGATTTGATCGTTCATTTAAGAGAAATTAAAAAAAAAACATTTGTGAATTGAACACAAAAAGTAAGAATATTCACATATGGGATTCATTTACTTATCAAATATACGCCTTTTATATTTAACCCATTTGATTTTATGATTCTTTTGAGTAACCTTATATTTTATGTTTTTATCTTCTTTAGATTAAACACAGGTTTTACACTTACCTTGAGAAACTTAAAAGTCCCAAACCATATTTACGTACTAATGAAACATTCAAGTTACATCTTTATAGTATAAATATGGATTATAGTATTAACAAAATCCAAAATTATTAAGCAACACAAGATTTCTCTTATTCAGATAATGTTAAATTTGCATTTGAATTCAGATTCAATTTCAAAAAAAAAAAAAGAAAAAAAAAGAAAAAAAAAAGACGGGGGTGTCGGTAGCCGATAACCCCCTCTCAATTCATTTATTAGCACTTAACACCTCCTATAAAGATAAATTGCAGTACGTACATGCTATCGAAGATATAACTAAGGTGGTTATTTGCAATTCACCCTGCAAATATGAACACCTCAGTATTTGATTAGACGATACCTGCAAGCATCAAAGGACATGTCGGAGATATGGACAGTGGAGAGAGACTTCTCCTTGAGATCATGAGAGAACATGCTGCGAAATACGGGTGATCGAGTCGCGAGGACGGCGCGGTGGGCGGGGATGCTGCCTCCGTCGCTGGCTGTAATGGTGATGTCGGCGAGGACCGCGTCGGAGAGCATTAGGGCCAGGGAGGTGAGGGATGTTGATAGGGAGCGCGTTTCAATTTGGTGGCCTGTCCATATTGACATTGACTCTCCCCCCTGTGATATATAATAAAGATTATTTCCTGAAAGAAACTTGACATGTGAATGAACATTTACAAAAAGAAAGAAAAAAAAATTGTCGTTAGATTCAGAGTTGATGAAGAACATTGATTTGTCAGACAACTTATGAATTGACTCATCACATACATACACATAATAAGAGACTTTATACGGTAAGTCTCGATAAAAAGTAAAGAAACAAGGAGGTACGTGCACTTTTCTCTTAAAAAAGGAGGTATATCCACTATCAAAAACCCTGCTAAGTTAAACTTATACCCCATTATCTTTTTCGGGTTTTTGCATATACACCCCTTATATCTTCAATATTTGCACCAGTGCCCCTCAAATCTGGCATATTGCCCAAGGAGAAAAATCAAAACAAAAACCTGGCTTTTTATGCATGGATCACTTGAGCTCGTATTGGTTCCTAATGCATAACAGGATGGAATGCCTTACTGATGGGGGAACAATCTTTAGATCAAGAAACTCAACATCTATGATGAATTTGCCAGTTAACGGTGTATCGATAGCCCACACGAAGTCATCACTGTTCTTTAACTGCTTGTCACAAATTCCTGCAGAAAACAGTATTAGAATAATTCGCCTGTAAAAATCCTGAGAATGCGATATGATATATAGAAAAGAATCTAAATGAAAGAAGGAGGAGACCTGGGTGAACTATAGTTTTCCTATTGGGGGAAGAGGAGGAAACAATTTTGATGTTTAAGGTTGCAACTGGGGGTTGCTCTCTAGTTAAGGTTGATGTCTCTGGGTATAACTTCACATAGAACTGCTTATTCCTCTCCACCGTCAAAAACCTGTAGATCATCATAATTAGTGATCTTTGTGGGATAAAATTAAGAAGGGATGAGAATTTAGAAGTTGGGCATTGCCAAAACTTATGTAAAATAAAAAATTTAAAAGCCTCAGGTCTAAGATGTAAATTGCTCCAACCTTAATTAGTTTCTCCTTAGGAGAGAGAACTGAACAAACTTCCTAAACTCAAATACCATGAAAACAAAGGATCAAGAATTGCATCAAGTTGGGAGAAACGGGAAACAGAGAGCAAAACTAATTACAATTAATTTCACCTTACATTGCAGAAAAGGACAAATAAACAATTTGGACGAGGAATTAAAAAAAAAGGTGGTCACGTAGGAAGGCTGAGTAAATACAATCTGAGTTAGAAAAGTTAAGGCATGCTCATGATTTCTTTAATAAAAAAGTCAAAACTTATTGAAACCAAAGAAGGAGAGAAGAATTTTATATTTCTCGATGATCATTTAAGAAAAGGAAAATGCCCTATACATATACGCATTGTAGAATATTGATGGAAAATACTATAAAACGAAAAGAACAATAAGGGAAATACTATAAAAGAAACATATATAATAACAATAATGCAAAGATCTTTGTTGTACAACGAAGGAAAGATCAAATCCAACAATTGATTGGCTTGTCCCAAAAATTTCCCCCCCAACTAGATTATCTAATTTCTTATCAGTTCATCCTGAAACAGAGAACCCAGATAATGAAAATAAAAATAAGGACAAGAACAAGGACAGGTAAATAAATCCCTAGCTATCATCATCTGCAACCAAAGAACTCAAAAGCAAAAGAAAGTTTGTACACGCAACCAAAAAGCGAAAAATAAAGAAAAATCCAAATGAATAAAAGAACAAACCAATTCCAAATCCCAATCTTGAAAGGATCAGACTTTCTATATGTACAAGAAGAGAGAGCCTCTATCCTCCATTGAGCGAGCCTTGATGTAGTCTCAACTCGATAAGCCGAATCACTCATTCCCTCCCCTGAAGAAGAAGCTGCTGCCGCAATCGCGTACTTGATCTCATTGAAGCAATCCAATATCCCCAGGAGCTCCCCTGACTTTCCCAGCTTTGCTTATATCAAAGCCCCTCTCCTTCATAGAAGAAGAAAGAGATAATTAAGCACTCTGTTTTGCTCTGTTTTTTGCTCTGGCTTTTTTTTTTGTAGTTATGGGTTTTATGGGACAATTAAGCACGCAATGGGATGGGAGTTGCTTCTAAGTCTGAGATGGATGAGGATATAAGTTGGGTTTTTATTGGGTTTAAAGAGAGAGATGGTGCTTTTGTTGGCTTTCACTGCACTTCAAGAATTTTATTCTGATGCTGCGAAAGTGGGAAGATTTGGTTTTTTTTTTTTTTTTGTGGGAGAAGGGAAAGGGAGTAGTTCTAGAGATATAGAAGAGAAATATCAAAGTTTGATTGGGCATGGGCCCAGTTCAGTCGGAGTGAAAAGATTATTTATAAGTGGATGGTGGGTAGGAGAACAGTTTACAAGTATATTTTCTCTTAATTTTCACTGTCTAATTCTTTCTGGAGGCTTTAGGATAAAGACTTGTTATATTGTTGAAACTTACTATATTTTTGTGGTCTTTTGCATGTTTGTGATTGTAGAATATTTTGAGCTTTAGTGTTTTTTTTTTGTCTGCTACATCTGGTTAGGAAATTTTAAAAAATATTAATTAAAGGTCTAATTGTTACTAGACCCATTGTATTATTGCCAAATTGCAGATAGACCCTCTATAGTTCTATACTTCTATTGCTGTAGATTAGCCTCTTTGAAATTTTTTTGACTCTTTTAACCTTAGAAAAATTTAAAAAAAAATTGACAAATAGATGTTTTGAGGATAAAAGAGATGAAAAATTGGCTTAGGGAGCCTGTTCCCATTTGGACGATAGTACAGGGGTCTATCCGCAACATAAGAGGGTTTGTCCCCAATTGGGCGATAGTTAAAGGGGTGTATCCTTGGTTAACCATAAATCAAACTATGATCCATTTAATTTTTGCAATTTAAGCAAAAAATATAAAGCTTAATATGTATAACGAGTAACTGTTTTATATGCGAAAAAGACTTCTTTCAGACCATAATTCCAAATTTCTTCTTTGTGTATGGAGTTGTACGTCCACAACAAAAAGAAAATGTTGATTCACAATTGCTCTTCCATGATTGTTTAAACCATCTTCGGATTTTGATGCTTATGCTTTTTGTTCGAAGCTTGTATTGTTTGATTATTTGAAGGCAACCTTTTAACAGAAAGTTTTGAAAATAGATGATGTTTTTGTCCTTCTAATATTCCCAGGGAGGGGGAAAGAGCAAGTGCAGCAGGCTCTCATCCTAGCTCTCAACGCTGATGTGGCAGTGGGAGCCTGCTGCAAACGCCCCAGCAAGTTCCTAACAGGCCTCTTTAAGCTGATGTGGACATCATGTAAGAGGTGGGGCCCAATTGAGCTCTCAAGCGTTCCATAAATTTGTGGAGCGCTTGGGAGCTCATAAGGAATTAAAAAATAATTTTTTTACACAAAACCCTATTTTTAGCCGGTAGCTACACTAAAAGAGAGATTTTTTACACAAAAACCCAATTTTACAAAACCCTATTTTTAGCCGGTAGCTACACTAAAAGAGAGATTTTTTACACAAAAACCCAATTTTACACAAAAACTCATGTGATGTGACATTGAGAGCTCTCCAACAAGCACTCCTAACACCCAACTTGTAGTTGAGATTTTATATTAAAACAATATATGTAGTTTCAATTTGCATAAAAGAAGCAACAACGACAACAAGTTAAGATCTGAATATTCATGAATATTCATTGTTGTGAAAGCTCCTAGATATCAATTGAGTGCAGTCATGTACTTCCTATGCTTTCCCCTCTTTCTTTTTCTCTTTTATAACAATGACCGCAGCCTCCTTTCAATTGAGAGACCCTAATAAGTTGCAACTGAGGTCTCTTTAGGGCATCTCCAACCCATTGCACCAAAATGGTGCAAATTTTGCACCAAAATGGTGCAAAAATCACATCTAACAGTAATTCATCTCCAACCCACTGCACCATATTTTGCACCAAAAAAGAATATTCTCAGTATCTTTCTTTTTATCTACTTTTATATTATTATTTTTTATTCCCTATATTTTTAACTATTTCAACAATTAACCCCACATATCAAATTTTATTTTTTCACATATTTTCCAAACAAAATAATTTATTATTTAAAAAATTAACCTAATAAAACAATAAAATATTATTTTATTAATTAAAATAACTTGATTGCTAAAATATTATATTTTTATTATTGATATTGCCAAAATATTACATTTAAGAACACAACAGAAAATAAAATAAAGAAAATAATTAAACATTAACAACAATGTAAAAATTACAAATTTAATATGCACTTAACTATCTGAAATAGTGTATTCCTCCCATAAATGATCTATCAATGCATTACGAAGCGCAATATGGGCATCTTTATCCTTGATTTTTCCGTAACGTGCAATAAATTGAGTAAATCTTGTAGTTTCATCTGCTACCATATCAACTTCTGGTGTTGGTGCTTCCCTCACTTCTTGAATTGGTGCATAAAGATCACGTTCATCCTCGATTATCATATTGTGCATAATAATGCATGCAGTCATTATGTCATGTAATACATGTTTTTTCCAAAAACGTGCTGATCCTGCCACGATTGCAAATCGTGATTGGAGAACTCCGAACGCACGTTCTACATCTTTTCTACATGCTTCCTGTTTCATGGCAAAATATTTTTTCTTCCTACCTTGTGGCTGTTGGATTGTTTGTACAATAGTAGCCCATTTCGGATATATACCATCAGCTAAATAATAACCCATATTATACTCTTTTCCTTGAATAACATAGTGAGCGGGAGGAGCAATACCTTGAGCTAGGTTAGAGAAAAGATTAGATGACTCCAGCACATTGATATCATTATTGGTGCCTGGCATACCAAAATATGCGTGCCATATCCAAAGATCATAATCTGCCACAGCTTCGAGGATAATAGTTGGTGACCCACTACGTCCTGTGTATTGCCCAGACCATGCTGTTGGACAATTTTTCCATTTCCAATGCATACAATCAAGACTTCCTAACATTCCTGGAAAACCACGTTTTTTTCCAATATAGAGTAGCCTAGCAATATCGTTAGCGTTAGGTGTTCGTAGATACCGCTCTGCGAATATTTCCACCATAGCACGACAAAATTTTGTCATACTTTCAATTGCTGTTGACTCACCTATTTTAACGTATTCGTCCGTAGCATCAGCTGGTAGACCGTATGCCAACATGCGAAAAACAGCTGTTACTTTCTGTAACGGTGATAATCCCATTCTACCAAGTCCATCACTTCGTTGTTGGAAGTAATAGTCATGATCTTTCACTGCATCAACAATACGAAGGAACAAACTTCTTGACATCCGATATCGACGACGAAACATATCTTCTCCAAAACGTGGATTATCGACAAAGTAATCTATGACCAAATTCTGATGCGCATTTTCTCGATCGCGGTTGATCACTGCATGACCAGGAGTCGAGCCACCATGGATCGGTTGGTAGTTTTGTTGACGAAATTGTTAGCGATGATCATGTTGTTGTTGATGTACTCACAAATTGCTTCTTCGGTTTCATCAATCTCTGCAATGATATTGGTCAGAAAATTATCATCATCCGAAGATGAAGATGATGATAAATTTCACACAATTCAAGGAGAGCTGAGTTGTGTATACGTTGGACAATGTGTAAAGCTGACCTGATTTCAAAAATTGATTCCCACTCGTACAAAGCTTTCACACAATTCAAGGAAAGCTGAGCTGTGTATACGTTGGATAATGTGTAAAGCTGACCTGATTTCAAAAATTGATTCCCACTCGTACAGAGCTTTCACACAATTCAAAGAAAGCTGAGCTGTGTATACGTTGGACAATGTGTAAAGCTGACCAGTTTTCAAAAAAATGATTCCCACTCGTACAAAGCTTTCACACAATTCAAGGAAAGCTGAGCTGTGTATACGTTGGACAATGTGTAAAGCTGACCTGATTTTAAAAATTGATTCCCACTCGTACAAAGCTTTCACACAATTCAAGGAGAGCTGAGCTGTGTATACGTTAGACAATGTATAAAGCTGACCAGTTTCCAAAAAATGATTCCCACTCGTACAAAGCTTTCACACAATTCAAGGAAAGCTGAGCTGTGTATACGTTGGACAATGTGTAAAGCTGATCAGTTTTCAAAAAATGATTCTCACTCGTACAAAGCTTTCACACAATTCAAGGAGAGCTGAGCTGTGTATACGTTGGACAATGTGTAAAGCTGACCTGATTTCAAAAATTGATTCCCACCGACAACGTTGGATAATGTGTAAAGCTGATCAGTTTGTACAAAATGATTCAATTTCAAATGTTGACCACCGACAAATTCAAACCAACCGCAAATTCAAATTCAAATTCAAATTCAAATTCAAACAAAAAAAACAAATTTGGATTGGCTATAAATAACATTCACGGTTTCTACTTCAAGCCACCCAATTCGAAGTATTTCTTCAAAGTATTTCTGATCTCCAAACCAACCGCTTTTTACAAAAAAATGTCTGTTCGATCAACTGGGTACACGGTTACTGAAGATGTGCTCCTTTGTCAAGTATTCTTGGATATTTCTCAAGACCCTATTATCGGTAGAAACCAGTCTCGAGATGCATTTTGGTCTCGTGTGGAGGACAGATACAATGAACTTCGAGACCAAAATTCTGATGTGCGTACGAGCCGATCAATTCGTTCTCGAATGGAAATCATAAGTAATGAAGTAAGGAAATTGAATGCGTGCTTGAGACAAGTAGAGAATCTGAATCCAAGTGGTGCTTCAGATGAAGATATTGTAAGTATTCTATTAATTATCGTTTGAAATTTATTATTGTTGTTGAAAAACATAACTTGATGTTCATTATAATTTGCAGTTAGTTCGAGCAAAGATGTTATTTATGCAAGAACCAAAGTACAAAAAAGGTTTCAAATTTGATCATGTCTGGAATATGGTTAAAAATTTCGAAAAATTCAAAGATGATGTCCCCACAGCAAGACAAGTTGGTCGAAGACAATCCCAAAGTGTGAACTTCGACTCGTCACAATCAGATAATCCCACTCCGGAATCTCCTATATCAACATCTCCTGGATTGTCATCATTTACTCCATCTGAACGACCTATTGGGGTAAAAAAAGCTAAATTGAAAAGGAAAAATGATGATCATGAGTCAAGTGTAGTGGACTCCATCGAGACCTCCAACAATCGACTTATAGACAGGTTAGACAAGGCGAGCTTGGACAGGCAAGAAGCATTTGATATCGAACGAGAAAAGATAGCCATGAAAAAA